CGAAGTTTTTACTATTACTAAGACATTTGACAGTTTTGGACAAAAGGCGCTAAAAATTGAGCGGTCATTTCCAAGTATCATTTTAGTATTTTTAAGAAATATGCAAAGCAGTTAAAATGGGATTATTTTCAGTGTAATATTGAAAAAATTTATGATGCAACTTTAAGTGTGATGTCCAGTACATTTCTGATACAACTTTCTTTTCCTTCTGAAATCTTGCAGTCTTCTTGACTGCAGTGTTTGCTTTAGTTATATACATACACTGAGATATCTCAAAAAGAAATTGTTTTATTCAATTATTTTATTCTTTAACCACTTTGAAGAAAATGTCCTAAGACAAAGCATTCATTTACATATACTCGTAACTAGAAGTGGAATCTTTAAACTAGTCACAAATATGAAACCTTGTTTTCAACTTATGGCATTATGCATTAAGCTAACTTTTGAAAAGCTCTGCAGAGTATTAAATAGTAGCCCTTGATTTCAAAATATCTTAAGTCACCATAATTTTAATAACTTTTTGAGTAGTTGCCAGTTTAATTTTCAGTATGTGCAAATTGGAGGTAAATTATTTATTACTTCCAGCAAATGTCTTTCACAATTTTATTTAATTTTTTCATCTTTTTTAATGGATCATAAAATTGCAGTCTTTTATTGGATATGCATAAATATAGCAGCAAGTGAATACTTTGCAAATAGGTTACTGTGGATTGAAATGTCCACCGTATTTCATGGAATATGAGATTTCTCAGATCTGAGTAGCCCTAACATATGGCACTGAGCTATTCTCCTGTTTTGGAATTTTCATACATCTTTAAAAATTAAATAAAAGCACTGTGACCATTGGGACATTGAATCTTATTTACTTAATTATATATCACAATACTATTTAATAATTTCTTACATGTCATGAATTTGAATTTAGTTTTATTATTATTTATTGGTATTGAGTACCAATTGACATTAAAATGCACTTCAAGCAGTCTGCTTGTTATGTTGTTTAGATTTCTTCTATCCTTCTACTTAAAAAAATATTCTGAGGATGGAGCAGAGTATATGGACATATTTGTAAACGATTCTAAACAATGTAGAACCAGTTTATAGAAAAGGAAGTAGACAGAGTTGTCAGTTCTAAGACTTTTGATTACATTGTAATACTGTGTTTTATTTTTATTGCAGCCTTATCACCAAGTACAGCCTAGCTATATTGTAGGGCAATTTATAAATATTGGTTTAATTAGTAATAGAATGACTGAGTGACTGATTGAACTTACTGATAAACATTCATAAACCAATTTGGCATGCAGTTTTAGGTGTTAAGTTCAAGCACACAGCTCAACATAGTGGAAACGTGGCATTTAATCAAGATAATGCTTTGTAACAAGAAGGAAATAGCATTGAAAAATTTCTTTACAGGAACCTGCATGGCATTATGTACTAGGAATTTTTGAACAGTTTAGCTCTTTATATTCTTATGTAACAGTAAGTAGAGTGGAAATTCTTTAAATTGAACAAAACATTATTAAGGAAATTATTTTGTTCTTACTATACATTCTTCTATATTATCTGTGTTGTTTTTGAACTTGGATCTAAAATATTTATATAAAAGTATCTTGATATTCTGAATAATCTGTTAAAGAATAGTCAAGTGTTACAGTAATTCATAGAGTACCTGCTGTGTTCCTGGCAATTTGTTGGACATTTTATGTACATTATTTTATCAAGCTCTCTTCCCCAAATCAACTCTGAAATGGGCACACTTACCCCCATTTTACATTGAAGAACACAAGGCTGAGAATGTAATGACTGGGGTGCATACTAGAACTCCTGATTCTCCAACACGTGGGCTGAATCTCTCCACTTTCTCAATTTTATTGGGTTCTTGGGACAACTGAAGATGAACTTTGTACTCACCTCCCACTTATGTATATAGAAGTTATACAGCAACCAGGGTGAGAAACCCATAGATGATAATGGAAGTGACATAAAATATAACAAAACATGAAATACATATATCACAGTTCTGGAGAAAAGAAACGTCAAATTATTGAGTCTGGATTAGAGGGGAAGATGGTTTTATGAATCTGTGTCCAGCAAGGGGGTAGCATAGCTTTGGACACTGGTGTCGGCTCATAATAGTGCCAGTATCATACCTGTAATCTCAAAAATGTTCTTCTAAACATGATACATGAAACATGTTCTTCTAAAGATGATAAAATTTAAAAGTGGAAATAACTTTTAGAGTGCTTTTTTCATGATTGTAACTTCTGAAAAATTTTCCCAGCAAATATATAGCATATAAAAATATACATTTATGTATATTCACAAATAAATACCTTATCTTAGCATATAGCGGATGCCATTGTAGTTAACCATGAGAAATACGTGAATATAGTAAAAAATTGGAGGAGTGACCCTAAGCTCTTGTCAGTGAGAGAAATTTAGATATAAGACCCTAGTGGTTATCGAGGATTAAGGCGGCATGCAGTAGAGGTGAAAGCACTTTGTCTGCAGAGTCAGAGAAGTCCAACATTTGGGTGAGTTACCTTTTTAAGCTTTGGGTCCCTTATCTGGAAAATGGAGATAATGCTACAGCCTCCCTCAGTGGGTTGTTAAATAAGATGAGCTCTGTGTCTGTCTCGCAGTAAGGAATCCATAAAAGCCGTCATTATTAGTCCTGTTGCTGACGGTCATGTTTTGACTTTGCTGCTACTGCCCTCAGGAAGATGAAGATTACACTGTTGAAACTGAAGTCCATGTGTCAAAAGAATCTTCAGGTGGCTTTTCATGGCTATGGAGACTTAACTCAGTTTTATTTGACACCAGCCACAGTATATACTAGACTGAGATTTTAGGAATAACGTGTGATTGTTTTGGTTGCCTACAAGACCTCAGCAGCATGCTACAGGAAGCTACAGAAAAGAGTGAACTTTGTTGTAAAATATACCTTGTGTTCTTATTCCATTTGGATAAGCATTAAACATTTTGAATGTTTCCTTCATTGATTAGACAACTGGTTCACTTCTGGTGAGTTCTACGGGCCAGATGATAAACAACTTCTGTCAGTGTCTACTGATCCCTTAAAAGTTGAGTCAGTAAGATTATCTGCTCAGTCATACATTATTATGAATCAAATGATCTTCCCCCAAACTAAAACCATGCCTTCCATGCCGTGTGCTCTCTGGTACATGCTTTGAAGTAGAGAAATTAGGGGCTAGGAAAGATTATTTTTGGATTCAACTATGCTTAGTCTTCAAAAAACCAAACTGAAACAAAACAAAACAAGGCACTCAGTTCTGCCGAATAAGCAACTAGGTTTAAGTTTTCTTTCTTAAATAAGCAACTTGGCATTCTGTGTTGAAATAGTTCAAAAGTTCAGTTAAGTTGGTATAAACACCCCAAGTTTTCTCTCTTTTCTGGATTTAGCTAAACTTTTTTTTTAAACAAAATGTTTTGAAGTGAATATTTCGGAAGAAATATTTTTAATGAGGGTAATTCTAAATTTTGAAGAAGAGTTTGGCTATGTTTGCTAATTGTATCTTTCCTGGTGGCTCTAGCCCTGTAAGAATCCAAACTAAATATCACATTAAGGAAAAAAAAAACACATTAAGGATTTTATTTCTTCAAGCCTCTCAAGTATGATGGAAAGAATTCAAAATTTGTTAGAATCCTAGCTTTGCCACTTTGGGCAAAGAAATGAACATTTCTGGGTCCTAGGTACTTCACCTGTAAAACTGCGAAACTACTTACTTTAAGGGTTTTTATAAGGATTAAATGAGATAATATCCATGAAATGTCTGGGATAGTGTCTGACATGTGGCAGGGACTAAATAATAATCCTCATCTCCTCACTCTGGCATCATTATTGAAAATCTTACCAGTGGTTTCAGATTGTTTCTTTTTTATCTTAACTCTCCATAACTAATAATATTTGGCACTCAATCCAAGGCACAGAGAAGAAATTTTCTAAAGAAAATAAAATTATAATTTAGAGTAATTAAAGCAAAGCTTCTGGCTATTCTTGGGATTTATAATATTTTATGAGAATTGGAGCACAGTGTTGTACAGAAGCTAGATTAACAATGTTGCCTGCTACTTCCACTTTAATTAATAGCTTTGATTTGCTGATACACTGATTATTCTTTGGCAATATACTTTGTAAACTTTTGGAAAAGAGTTGTTTCCTTAATGCTTTAAAATCTCCTTGTCATTTTTTTCCATTTGATATCTTCTTAGAGCTATTTAAAAAAAATTACCAACTGATCCCAAATAATGAATTACTAGAATCTGAATTAATAAAAATTTCACTATTTTTAATTGTATAATTATTTGAAATAAAAGTGAGAGCTATGTTTTAATTATGGTATTTCTTAGCCATAGACAAAAGTTATCCTCTCTTTTTTTCTCCCTTTGTCAGGATATTTTAATTATCCTGGGACCATTTACAACAAATGCCTACTAATACATAAATCATGTACTTTTTAAAAATTTCCTTCAGTTTATCTTTGTCTTTCATGGTCATTTTCTCTATATTTTACCTTTGAATGATTTATTATTTCCAATTTTATATTCTTAAAGAATGATTTTGTGATATGGTAATATCTAAAGACAGGGAACATAAACTAAATCGGATAGAAGGATATTTTCCCCCTTTTTAGGTTTTTGTGAACCTGAAATCTCAGTGATTTTTCTGGATTAAGGAATTTTTTAAATTGAATTTTTTTCTAAATTTAAAAAATTTAAATTAAATAACAAGAAGTACCAGAATTTCTTAATGTTTCTATTTATGTTAATGCTTGTTTTAGGAACAATTAGATCACCTGAGGAATTTGCTTCTGGCTACTGAGTAAGGACTGCAACTAAGAAAGAACAAAGTTAGGATTTGACTCTTTAAGTAAATTTTTCAGGCTAGTTTGAAATTATTTAAGTAAATAAAAGTCTCCCACAATATTCTAGTTTTTTAATTTATTTTTAATTATTACTTCTTCATTTTCTTTCAGAACTCTTGATGTTTCAGTGAGCTTTAATGGAGGAAAGTCTGTCATCTCCAGCTCATTAATAGTCACAGCCACAGAATGTGTAAGTAACAGTCTGCATAAAGTTACCTTTTAAAAATAATTCTATCGAGAAATAATTTCTGGATCTTCAGTGTTGCTACAGACTATAGTAAAGAAGGCACAGATAGTAACACTGGAGACCATTACAAGAAAGAATTTGTATAGAATTTATTTTAGGTTGTTTTGTGTTTTTCCCTTTCGCCTCCTTCAAAAGGAATTTATGAGAGTATACATTTTATTTTGATATTTATAAATCTGAAAAGTCATATTTAAAACCAAAATACAGTAGAAGAATGATTTCCAAATGAAGCATTTTTTTTTCTTGAAACATTAATGTTTATGGAATAATGCCTTTTTGTTAATGAAATCTGCATTATAGTATCTAAGGTATTTATTATATTTTGAAATTATTAGTGCATTTTAATGAGTGAGCTTATTGTTCTGTCCATTTTACTGTTGGTGCTTCCTCACGTGAGTAAGGAATTCGATTTTTATAGCTTGGCAGTATCTTAGTTTGAAACTACATTGAACTATAATTTAGTTGAGATGATTGATGTTTGTTGCCTAAGATGTAGTATTTTGAAATGTAAACTCCATTGATAAAACAGTGTTTTCCTTGTAGGATTTTTTTTTTTAGGTTTATGGAAAGTCTTGCTGTTATATTGTTGAACATGAAAACACGAAGCACTAAAAGGAACTGATCACAAGGCTGTTGTTCTTATGAGTGCATTTTCTTTGTAAAAATATATGTAATCAAAGCAAAGAAAAAAAAATCCCTGCCCTTTAAAAGACCAAAATCCCAAACCTAAACATTTTCTTACATCTCATCATTTCATATTTTGATCTTTTAATCCTAGAGACATGCTTCCTCCAGAAAACAAAACCGAACAACTCGATATTATTTGTAGAAGGGTAGCTTTGTTTCTGGTTGTGAGAAAACATTGCAGGGAAGACAAGCATCCATATGCACTCTTGGGTCTCTGCTGAATTCCCTGGATAACTCTTGACACCTGTTTTTATTTTTAAAATAGCTAGTTTTCTTTTCTTTTTATCTTCAATTCATGTTGCAATTTGTAGGTTTTTTGGTGGTTGCAGTTTATAGGTTTTCTGGTCCCTCTGGTTGTGGTTGAGATTACAAACATTTGTGGTATGTGGTTTCTCTGTGTTTTGCTCACTGGAATGACTTTCTTTCTCCATCCTCCTTCCTTTTCTGTACATCCAGCCACCTTTATGCACCCCTCTCCCATGCAAACAGGAAAACAAGCCTTTGTCTGGATCCTTATAACCATGCACTGTCTCAGTGTGCAGGATGCTGAAATTAAATGACACATCTGGAATTTACAGGTTGTGTGCTTTAAGGAAGTCTTTCAAGGTCTTGCTATTTCTCAGGGGAGCGTAATGTGACTCAGGTGGTTTAAGAGTAAGGTGATTTCAGGAAAAGGGACATCAGTTGTGTCAGAGATGCAGAGAGAGTGAGGGGACAACTTGTCATGTTCAATAAGGGATAAAAATAATTTTCACTGAGGAGAGATTTGAGCAAAGGCTTGAGGAAGGTGAGAGAGCCTTGAAGACCATGCAAGGGAAGGGTGTTTATGCAGTGGGAGCAGCTAGGCCAAAGCCCAAGCTGGGACTGTATCTGCTAGTTTAAAGAAGAACAAAGCAGTCAGTGTGTGGGTTGAAGGAGTTTCGAGATGAGCAGGAGAGAGTGGAGGGAGAGGAGAGATCACGTAGGGTTTTATAAGTCATTGTAAGGACTTGAGTTTTTCTTCTGAGTGAAACAGGGAGCCACTGGAAGGTGACACAGCACCACATTGTTTTAAAAGGATCATTCTGGCTGCTGTGCAGAAATAGACTTTGCAGGCAGGGGCCAAAGTGGAAACATCAAGACCAATTCTGTGGCTATTTCAATAATCCAGGAGAGGAGAAGGGGCACCACTAGGGAGATAGCAGTAGAAATGGTAAGAAGTGATGGTTAGAGTAGAATGTAGTTCAAAGGTGGAATCTATGAGATACCTGGACAGATTAGATGTGGGTGTGAGAGAAAGACAATAGAACAGTTCTAAGCTTTTTCACCTGGGCAGCTAGAAAGATGAGTTGTCATCAGGTAGAACAGTCTTTGGAAGAAGATAAGGAGGTCTGTTTTGGAAATGTTGAATGAAAGATGTCCTTATCATCTCAGTGGAAATGTCAGAAAGGCTACTGAATACAGTCTGGAGTTCAAAAAAGAGATCTGGATTGGAAGTACACATTTGGGAGTTGTGTGGAATGAAAGAGTCAACCAAATTCTTTTTTTTTTTTTAATGGAAAAAAAAGCTTTTAGGAGGTAGAGCAAGAAGGGAAAGAAAACCAGAGAAAGGTTTTGTATTTATGGAGGAACTGAGATGAACTGAGTCTTGAAAGACAGCACAGGTCTTAGGCAAGGAGAAAAGGTGGGAAAGCATTAAACAGGTAAATAGCAAACAGAAACGAAAGGAGGAAGAACAAAATAGGGGTACGGGATTAACAGACACAAACTACTATATACAAAATAGATAAGCAACAAGGATTTACTGTATAGTACAGGGAACTATACCAGTTAGTTTGTAATAACCTGTAAAAGAATATAATCTGCAAAAATACTGAATCACTATGCTGTACATCTGAAGCTAACACAATATTGTAACGCAACTATGCTTTAATAAAAATAAATTAATTAACAAAAATAAATTGAGAGAGGAGATATATTTGGCTGGAGTAAAAATAGTGGAAGCCTTGGAAATGGAAAATTTAGACCAGATTATCAGTAGCCTAAAAAAAAGTCCAGAGTTCATCCTATAGATCTGTGGTTCTCTAAACTTCAGCAGACAGAGATATGAAAGAAGGAAAGAAAATCTCCCACATTCATGTGTCCCAAGGGCCAGACTACGGCTCTCTCCTTGAGCTGTGGCTATCAGAGCAGGATACGAACTTCAGCAACTAGAGTCACCACACGACAGGCATTTAGAAAGTTTCTTCCCCTCTTTGATCTAGAACTAGTTGAAAGGAGGGCAGCTGAGACTGTAACCAAAGGAGGCATGATGCCTCCAGAAAAAATGCCAAGAAAAAGTATTGCAAGCAACAATATTGGCTATTGGATCCGGCTCTAAAGGCAAGGGTGGAGAGATCCAACCAGTTGTGAAAGTTGAAGGTGAATTTCTTCTCTCAGAATACGGAGGCACCAAAGTTGTTCTGGACAGCAGGGGTTATTTTTTATTTAGAGATGGTGACATTCTTGGAAAATCTGTGAGATTGAAATAAGTTGCTATTAAAATGGCATCAAGTGAGACTGCACGTTACACTAAAGTTCTGAAATCTTTCATCAGGTAAATAACTTCCATGTCTGTCTTTTGTAGTAAACTAATAATCTCCAAACTAATAAAAAGGAAAGAAAATGGATTGCATTTTTCATCTTTCTCCTATTCTCCCGATAGGAGGTAGTGTTAAAACTTGGAGCAAGGCACTCATTAAAGTGAGGCTCCTACCCTCTCATGGAGACTGGGAGTTGGGGTCACCACCTTCTTTGATGATGGCTCTCAGATCAAGAAATACATTCCCCCTGGGATCTGTAAAACTGGAAAAAGACTTTAAAGGAGATTTATACACATTTCAAAGAGGCAGAAAAAGATTTTGCAATTATAAAGTTTTCTAAGTTTTTTTCTCTAGAAAAAGGGAGGTCAAGGACCTATTGTTCGGAAGAAATTTGAAGAAATTTGTTTAAAGTTTAATCAGGCTGAGGGAAAATGTAAGTCCTTCTTGGTCTGTAGAATAATGAAGTGAATAAGAGAAGGAACAGCACAAGACGTGGGAAAACGAGGATACTTATTCATATGAAGAGGCCAACATGAAAGGAGCAGCATCAGATGCTTCAGGGAGGGGAAGGAGGAGAGGTCAAAGGGGTCACGGTGACCTTGCTGATTCAGCCTAGGTTGATGATTTGTAGTCTTCTGTGTGAATTTTATTATTTCATTAATTATTATAGGGTAATAAATAATATAATATAATAATATAATATTATATAATAATATAATAATAATATCAATAATAATCACAGGATAATTTTTTTTCTCATTAGATTTGACCATTATTTTGATTCAAAATCAAATACCTCTGGTGTGTGGTAGTAATATTACCGTTTCAGAGATATGGGACGTGAAGCTGGAGCTGATGAGAATGTGCCTGCAGATGTGTGCATTAAATCCCTATTCAGAATAGAAGAGGACAATGGGTAGCATTATGATAAATACCAGGCATTGTATTTACATGCTACGCAGCCTTTAGGCATATTAGAATGACAGAAATAGGTGAGATGCAGTTGGTAATCTAACTCATTCTCAGATGATGCTTTTGGCTCTTCACAGGCATTGAAAAGTGAAACAAAATAGAAAACCACTGCTTTAGCAATTGATTAATCCTTGTGGAAATGCCACAAATAAAGAAGGCCCTCTGTGTTCTCCAAGAGCATCCGGGCTCAGTCCTATTAAGGCACTTATGTCACTGGGCTGTAATTTCCTGTTTACTTCTTGGTGTCTCTCAACAGTCTTGAGACGAGGACAGCAGAGCCCGAGCCTTGCTCGTTGCCTCCGTCTCAGTGCCTGGTCCTGACAGTGCTCCAAAATTATTTGTTAAATGAATGAATGAAAGTAGGTGTACATTCAGTTTAAAAGTGGGGAAACTAAGGTTTAGATTTAAGAGATTCAAGATTAGAGTCTGAGGAAGGTTTGGATTTAGGCAGTCCATTCTCTTCATCTGTCTCAGGAGATTTCCTAAATGTGTCTCCACTTAAAATAATTCAGTGAAAGATTTTTTTTTCCTCTTGGAATCGCTGCTCTTCTGACTCTTTTGGAACAATAATACTGAGAACATGTTTTCTGAGCACATATTAAATGCCAGACACTGTGCTAAGTGTTATACATGTGCTAAGCAGTTTGTGATTTCATTTAATACTCACCACTCTAGAGGAGGCTATTGCTATGACCTTAATTTTACAGATGAGAAAACTGAGGA